GCTGTAAGGATTTCTGGGAATAAATTAATGGTAAGTAAACAACCATGTAGAGGAATTCCCAAATATTGTTGTAAGATCTGAATGTTTGTGCACCTCCTTACCCATCCATCAATTCACTGTACATTAATCTTTCAACCATGTCTTTGCTCTCACCTTTCTCATTCAGATGTGTTCTTTTGCCTTTTGGTCTTTGTTTTGCCATAGAAGGGGAGTTTCTTTCATTTCGTTGCTGGAAACAGGTTAAATCGTAGCTCAAAATTTACAACACTGTCATGGAGTTTAAGGCCTAATGAAATCTAAGCCCTACCAGAGGGGTGGAACTTTCCAGAAATGACCACAATCTGACCTCTTTGAGTTAGCTACTACAGAGTTCCAAAGCCAGGTGGCATAGGAGAGTAAAATCCATAACATTTTCAAACTTCTATAGTAGGCCTTTAGCAAAGCAAGCTTGAGCAGCAGTTCCTAATACACGCTCCTCAGGAAAGAGAATCTATGACATCCAAGTCAGCTAGAGAAGACATGAGTCAAACAAAGATGAGCAGGGATATTTTTCTTCAGGACTTTTCAGAGCCTTTATTAGGCTATTGTGTATTGTGAATTTCCAAGAAGAAAAAAATGGCATACAATTTTCTCCAACACTTATTTTACTCTGGAATGACTGTTTTTGTAAATCATATCACAGAAAGGGGGTTTTGCAGAATTCACTTTAGTTAAAGATATCGTTAGACCCATAGTAAAAATCTACTTGGTTACTGGTCAGACCCTCCCTTCCAAAAATATGACTCAACTGCATTTTAAGCTACTGGAAGTATAACTTACTGTTTTTGAGAGTTTTCCATCTTTGGTACTAGACTGGATTTATTTTTCCATGCATGGTTTTTCTTGCCTTCACTAGCCTGTTTCTCCTCTACATATGTTTACTGGTTCAAATCTTGAGAAATAATGGCACTTGTAATACCCAGCTGGTCCCCACAGTGGGAGTGGGAATTTTGATATTCTTTGATTTGAAGTAAAAACAAAACAAACCAACCAAACAAAAAATCTCTAATATTTAAATAATTTTTCAGGATAGTATTCTAGCTGTACTTTGAAATTATGGTTGACTCCCTATGCAGTCCTAAACAAACCACTACACTATTTAACAGTTTATTGAGGTAGAGAATAGGTAAGTTCACATTTCAATAAGGAAGTTTATAACGGCCTTAATACATATTCCAAGACATCCTCAGTTTGGGGGACTTCTTTGCTACCCACTATTAGAAAGGAATCTAATCTAACTTAAATGTTGATATGAGAATGTATTTGCCTATCTACATAAATCATATAATTTGGTAGATGGTGATTTCTACCCCAAAATCATCTTCATTCTCAGCATCTTTTCTAACTGAAAAGTTGTTTGATATTTCAACACACCAACTACTGGTTGGTTGATATTCAGAAAAATAATTGCCAATGAAATATATATATATATGTAAATATATATATGTGTATATATATATATACACACACACAAGCACACATTCTCTAACAGTGATTCAGAAAGCATGTATTCTATTTAATACACTTCCACATTGTCTTATTAACTTACTTTCTTAACTACATTTGATTTTTCTAAAAGTTGTTGCAAGTAACTTGATTTTCCAAAATTAGGAAAAAATTCCAAGCTGTTAAGGAAATTTAACCTGCGGTAATGTAAATATAACACGAATACAAAAAACTATGTGTTGTTTAGTAAAATCTACTGATAACAAGATTATTTTAAAGCACTCATAAGTTAAAGCTGGTTTTATTAAAATCAAGTAGAAAGCGGGCAGAGAAATGGACAGAAAGGATACAAGCTTGAGATGGAATGAATGCTCCACATTCACACATGCATAAAAGCACAAAATGAACATTTGTCCACAGGAAATTTAGGAAACTGATGCATTGGCACAAATCCATCACAAGAGTCTTCTTGCATAACCCACTGGCTAAGATAGAGAAATCTTTCCCCGAGGTGGATTCTGACATGCAGTTCTAGCCTCCTACTCTCAATCCTATTTAAACTCAGTCTTTGTGTCCTCTTCTAGATTTGGTCCTACTGTGGATTCAAAGACCAGGCCTTTGGCTGAGCAGGAAAAATATGAAGAACTCTGGGGAAAATTGAAAACTAGTCTTGCCCCATTTCAGCCTTCTTTCGCCTCCCTCACAGCCCATGTCTTATATGCTGTAACTTTCTGGGATGCCTTGGAAAGCTGAGCGCCCCCTCCCCACACCCAAGTTTCTCCAGATGCTATAGACCTCTCCCAGCTTCTACCCTTGTATCCTCCTGACAGCCTCTGGACACTCTCTCTAATAGTCAGTTCTTGGGTCTCCCTTGATTTCTAGCCTCACCTGTTTGAGTTTGATGCAGTTCTGTCTCCTGACTATCCCAAATTTCACTGTTCCTGCTACTAACTGAAATTACAGCTGTTATTGACTAGGAAAATACATCTTCAGTCTTCAATTAATCTTCACATGTCCCTTTCCCTTTTCAGTCTCCCTGGACTCCAGCCCTAATCTTCCTCTACCCTGTTGGTCAAGATGCCTTATGTCAGTGATTTACCTTCACTCTTTCAATACTTTCTTGCTTCTGTTTCTACCTTCTCCATGCCCTATTACCTCTGAGCCCTGTTCTCCACTACAAAAATCTTATCAACTTAGATCTTTGCTAGCTCTGGATAAAGTTGTTAAGGCAACTTTTACCTAATATGTACTCTACTGAACAGTTACGTTTTCCTTTCATATTTGTCTTTAACGAGGTTTTTTTTTTTTTATTGTGATGGAGTCAATGAATATCACAAAAAAAGTCTTACTTTAAAATCAAAAGAAAAAACTGTTTTTCCTTCACAGTAAATCTTACTAATGACTTTTATAATAAGGGGCCCTGGGAAAGGCTCAAGAGAGATCTTAAACTGAGGTAAACAGGTGTATTAAAGTGAAGCAAAGGCTTGCTCACTCCCTTTGTCCCCACTCCAGGGTAAGAGAATGTTTAAATCATTCTACAGGCTTTTGGTAAATGCAGTAGCAAAGTGGCAGAGTTTCTTATATTCCAAAGGAAACTTTAAACTTGAAGTTTCTGATAACTCATTGACACTCTAAAATATGAGAACCCCTTCCAGAATGTAGCCAAGTCAACTGTGCTCATAGGTGCAAATGCTCTCCTCATAAAGCAGAAAAAAAGTGAAAAATGGGAGGCAGAATGTCTTGAATATTCAGTCCAAATTTGAAACTCATTTTGTGCACAATAAATCTATTAGAATCAGGCTGTCAATCACAATTCTGAAGTAGGGAATACAAATTCAGACCCTCTATGGAAGGATCTTATAATCTATGGAAGGTGACAGAATGAAAAACCAGCCCAGTAATTAAGGGTAGGAGTCCTAACACACACCACGGCAATGATGCTCCCAAACCAGACTCCATGGGTTTGCACCTCAGCTTCATCAGGCACTGACTTCAGGCACTTCACCTCTCTCGGCCTCAGTCTTCTCACTTGTAAAACGGGCTGAATAACAGAAGCCACCTTGTGGGATTATTATGAGGATTAAATGAGATAATACCATTGCTTAGAACAACACTTGATTTTTTTTTTTTATAGTGATTAGGTCAAGGGCATTTGCTGGCCATGAACTTGTGCTGGCGGGGGGGGGGGGGGGTCAGTCATAAATCAATGGCTTTGGTCCTTCTCAGTCTCATTCAGGAGAGAGAAGGCATGGCTTTTTGGTCACAGAAGTGGTCCTTGAGAGATCTGGGTCCGTGAAGAGATGGAAATAAAACAAGTCTTCCTGCACCCTCTGATAGAGGATCAAACAAAGAGTCCTCTTAAGTCCAGCATTCCAGTGTACCACAATAGGCTCTGAGATGGAGACCCCATGGCCTTGCAATAAATTCCTTTGCCTCATTATTATTCTCTACACTCATAGTTCCCTTGGGTCCAGATGTCTGGTGGAATGTAGAGTTTAGAATTCTTAGCACCCTGTCCTTCCATATGCTAATCCTATTTCCTTAACATCACTAAAACCTCGCCTTCCTAATGTTAATATAAAATGAAGTAGACTTTAATGGTAAGAATAAGCATCATTGTTTAAAAGTCTCAGTATCTAGGATGGGCTTTATCTTCCTTTTAAGAGTCCTGTATTGAAGCAGGAAAGGCATTACCATTAATAAAACCACATCCTAATGTTTCATTGGTATTCCAACTCCCCATAGAGTCCTCACACAAGCAAAGATGTCTTCGATTCTAATGAGACTCTTTTCCTGTGCAAATTCTACAGGATTCCATATTTTATTGCGGTATGAGCTAGATGGGATGTCCAAAATGAATGGAGACATTTAGAATTTTGCCATACACCTAAATGTCTCAGAACCAACCTTCTCTACAAAACATCTTGCAGTTAGTATTTGTCAAGAACACTTTTCTCACTCCAGTCACTAAAAACTTACTATTTTTTTTTGGTCTATGTCAACTTTTTATCATTAACTATGCATAAACTATTCTATTTATTGTGTTTAGATTCTTATATATTTTAGGCATGTCTCACCTGTTTCTTCCATTGATTATAAACCTTTCAAAGGCCGAATCTTGTTAACTTTCCACAGTAATTTTTGCTGTTTATTTATTCATTCATTCCACATTTATTGAGCACTCAAAGTGTCCAAGTACTATGGGGACAAAAAGTTGTACAAGGCAATGAATCCTTCTCCCCAAAGTCATAGGTTCTATTTTCCTACAATGAAGCACAAATAGTAGAAGATTTCAAAACGTCATGGTAAAGTTACTGTCTTTCTAGAACTAGAAAAATGTTTTGCCTATGTTGCATTCTCTGTTTTGCCAAAGCCCATCACTGCCCTTACTTTCTTTCTTTAAATTGAAATTGAAAAAAAGAAAAAGAATTCAAGAACACGGAATTTTACAAATCAAAGGTAGCCACAATTTAACTTCAAACTCATAGAATCTCTGTCTTTCCCTCTCCCTCCAGGATTGTGGCCAGAGCCTCCAAGAACCTCATGTCCACTCAAAGCCTAGGGATTGTATTTGGACCCACCCTTCTGCGAGCTGAAGATGAAATGGGGAACATGGCAATACATATGGTATACCAAAACCAGATAGCTGAGCTCATGCTGAGTGAGTACAATAAGATCTTCGGCTCAGAGGAAGACTGACAGACAAGACAAGTGACTGAATATGTTCACATCTGTCTCGATGCCTAATATTTTTACATTTCTGTAAACATATTTCTGAAATATTTTTTTCCTTTCAAGCGACAGATGCCTCATTTTGTGAAAACTTAATGATAATTTTGTGTTTAAGTTCCAAACATTTGAATAAAATAGTTGACAATATTTGCCTATATGTGTTCTACATTAACCCCTTCATTGCTATTCTTTCTAGCACTTCTAGGCATTCATTATACATGCTCCAGACTATAAGATAATGTGCAGAGCACAGCACATACCCAAAAGACAGTTTTAAAACTGCTCCCAGGCATTGGGCGTGTAATTGTGTGAGTGTGAGTTTTGTCAATATGGGTACGTGTGCACACAGGTGAGCCCGTTCACTGCCCTGGTGGCCTCGGGCATGTTCCCATACTCCTACTTGTACATGAGTAGAACCAAAAGAGGGAAGAAGTCAGAAATTAGTCATTTTAAAATAGAACAAAAAAGATCAGGTTCTCCACTAAAATAGATATATTTCATCTTTCAGGAACATTTTTGCATGTGCAAATAGAAAATACAGCCCAGCTATCCTCAATGCTATATGGTGAAATTTACAAATACAACATGTTGAATGGCAATTTTTCTGAAGAGAAATGATAGTTCAAAACATTTGCCACTGATGATTTTATACACACAAACACACACACCCACACACACACGTATATACACACACACTATTTGCAGTCCCATAAACATACTGTCTTATAAATTAGAAGCAAAATTAGTGTCCTAGAATTCTGATCTTTATATTATACAGGAATTGCATGACCGCTCATTTTTAATGTTAGCATCCATTTTGAATCTTCATCAAACTGTATATCTTCCTATGCCCTGGCTATGTCATTTTATGTAGAATTTTTATTATGCTTCTGAGGATGCTTTATTGGTGAATTACATTAAATCCATCTAGAAAGAACTTTTTAAAAAGCCTTTATATATAGATATAGATATAGATATAGATATATAGATATATAGATATATATATGCCCTAAGGATTACTTGACTAGACTTGGATTGCTTTATCCATTTGATTGTTAGTTTCAGTTGTCATGGATAAACAAAAGGATAACTGTCTAGAATACCTCAAACATGTTTTATTTTTGAAAAGTATGTTCTAGGGATGCCTGGGTGGCTCAGTCGGTTAAGCGGCTGCCCTCGGCTCAGGTCATGATCCCAGGGTCCTGGGATCAAGTCCCACATCGGGCTCCTTGCTCAGTAGGGAACCTGCTTCTCTCTCTCCCTCTCTCTTTCCCTCTGCTTGTGCTCTCTCTGTCAAATAAATAAAATCTTAAAAAAAAAAAAAAAGTATGTTCTAGCTGAACACATCTCATACCCAGTTTTGTGAAAGCATTCTGCTGATAAAAATGTAGACTTTTGTGGGGCACCTGGGTGGCTCAGTTGGTTGGGCGACTGCCTTCGGCTCGGGTCGTGATCCTGGAGTCCTGGGATCGAGTCCCGCATCGGGCTCCCTGCTCGGCGGGGGGTCTGCTTCTCCCTCTGACCCTCCCCCCTCTCATGTGCTCGCTCTCTCTCAAATAAATAAATACAATCTTTAGGGGAAAAAATGTAAACTTTTGTTTGACAGCCTTTTAATCAAATTCAAAAGGAATAAATAAAATTAATCCAGTGCAATAAAGAGTAAGTCTAGTTATCGACTTGTTCATAAAATGAGGAATAAAGCATGTAAATAAAATGTGTGAAGCATGGATTCAAAAGCAAACACTGAGCAGCACAGGCTGTCTACATGGATGGGGTATACGGTACAGGGAGAGAGTCTGTTCAAGAGATAGCCAGATGTGCTGGCAGCTCCAGCATCCACAGAGCTGCCTGAGAAAGAAGTTACCTTGCCCCTCTTGAATGTCTTCATCTTGGCAATGGCGCCAGTAAGTCGGCTCTTGGCCAAGGACAGAAAAGCAACCACAATAAATGCTCAAGAGTGGTTTCATCAAGGGGGATATATACACATTCCATGAAGCCAAGGCAAGTCACATGAGGCAGGACCCCATGAACTAAAGGTACTGGTAACAGTGAGCTAATAGGCTTGCCAGCCTTAAACTCTTATATGTAAAGTGGTACTGATGCCTTTCAGAAAAACATGGAGACACGAAACAAGAGTTTCTGGCATTCTATTTCAAGTCCTCCTCATTTCCATGACATTCCATATTCTGAGTTACATCTCCTCCAAGATTTTAATTACTTCCCTTTTTGAAGGGGGGAGAGTTGGTTTAGTGGTCCCCGCATTTAAATCGCATCCCTTCCCATGTCCATCTTTAAAGTTATTCTGGGAGCATGAGCCGGAAAGAAGCAGCACTAATAGCCAAAGAGAAGTGGCAATACCTGCTTTGAGCAGGGACTCATAGCCCCTCATCTCTGCTGCTTTCCAGATTTATAATCTTCAAAAGCACCAGCTTCTTGATTTTCCATCTGATGGGATTTAGTCTGATTCAAACCCAGCTGTGTCCCATCCCTGCCTGCTAAGGGCATTTAATCAGAGACTGTGTTCCTCTCGGGGACAAGACCATTCCACAGTACTGAGGCAAAGCGCCCATCAGAGGATCTGACTTGCACACACCAAGGCATAAAAAGGGTTACACCAAAAGGTCATTAGATTCCAGAACATTCCAAAGACAGTAATGATGGTCATAACAACGATTCCAAGTTTAAAAGCTGAGAATGGAGGTGTACTAGGTTGACCCCACTAAGGGGTTAGATTTTATAAAATGGATCAATATTCTTCATCAAGAAGACATAAAAAAAAAAAATGAGCACTTCTTAATCACCTCATTTAAGCCAGCTGCAAGTCCAGGCAAGAGCAATACAAATATAAAATAAGGCAAATTCCCACCCTCTATAAGTTCCACAGTCCAATAAGAGAGAAAATTATCTAAAGATTAATATAAGATCAGCCACCTTAATAACCATGTCGCCCCAGGGCTCAGCAGCTATACACAGAGATGCTCGAAAAGCATTCTGAATGAATGAACAAGCAGAAGCTAGTACAGAAACATTAACAAAGTTCAGTCGTTGACAGAGAACCAAATAACAAGTTGTGCCTGGGGTGAGTCAGGTGAAGTTTCACTGGGAAGGTAACCTTTTTAATCTAATTTTGACCAGTGAAATAAGATTAACCAAAGAAAAATGTAGAAGACATACTGGCCAGCAGGGATGGCGTGAACAGAGTCATGAAAGACCCACTATCTCCAAGGTAAAGAGAGAAGCTCAGGGAACAGAGGATGAAGTGCATGCCTAGCAACTTGGGAGGATGGAGCTAGAGAACAATGTTGGGGTTAGACACAGGACATGATAAAATATGTATGCAGTCGGCAAAAGAGATCCAGTGGGAGTTGTAAAATAAGAAAGCCACAGAAAAACTTTGTTTCTTAAAAAAAGAATCTCTCAATTCACCAGTGGACCCAAGAAACCAAATACCTTGAGAACACTGGCATATTCTCGTGTATGTGTTTGTATGTGTGCATGTATGCATGTGTACACTTTCTAACATGTTCCATCATGCAATCATAATCTCGTATCCTTAGGAGCATTTCTATATCATGACGACTAAATATTTTCAGATATTATAACTGGTAACTTAGTCTATAGAATGGAAACCCAAGTCCAAAACAGTCTCCCTGGAAAAGCCAGCTAGCTGGTACAGCCCATTCCAGCATGGATTTACCTACCCAGGATGTGGAAGATTGCCCCCCTTTCACACTAATACACAAAATTTTGTGGAGATGGTACTTGTTTTGTCCTATATGTTGAGAGTGTGACTTCACTTAGTGTGTGCCACATGACAGGATCACCATGCCACAGCTAGTAATTGAAAGCCATATGATGGTTCTCCCTATCCAAGTAGAAAACAAAGGATCCAATTAAGAAAAATTAGAAAAGCTGTTAAAAAGGAACAATCACTTGCCAATGCTGCTGTCCTTACAGTTTAACACAGCTAGAAATTGACCTGTACTTCTCTTTTCCACATTTATTTTTGTGAATTATAAGTTAATCACCCTGTCAATTCCTAATTAAAAGGCCCTGTAAAGATTTTCATCCAAAAGGACTGTCACTAAGAGTTCTGGGTCAAATTGCTCTGTTGTCAAAAATAAGAAATAAAACCAAAACAATATCAACACTCTCCTTGGGAAACTCGAATCTTAATACCAAACAACAAAAGACTTTCTTCAAACATAATAATCACATACAATTTCTTCAATTAATATGTTTCATCTTATCTTTAAAAAGTAGGTGGATTTTTTTTCTCTTTCTTTGAACCAAGGCTTGCAAACTCAAATGTTACTAGGGCCAGGCGGGTAATATAGATGAGTAAAGAAGAGCAGGCTTAAGGCATTATGAAGTGGTAGCAGCTGGGGAAAACTCAAGCTCAACCCCCTGGCCAAAAGGGTCCCGGCTTCTACTCAGCTCAAGCCGATACTGCTTATGTGGGAATTGTGGGCACAATGTTGCCAGACCTTCAGATCTTTCATGACAAGCCAGAAATTCAGGAACTTATGTGAAACCTGATTTTTAAGGGCACCTCATAAAACACATCTGAGCAGACTTACCCCAAGTTTCTCCATTTTTGTAAAGTCCATCTTAAGCCTTCCGATGTTGCAAAGTCTGCTTTCCAGAAAACCGGTAATGCGTGAAGCAAATGGTGGAGATATGTGAGTGAGCCAGAGCAATGTGTAAGAGAAGAAAATGAAAAAAAAAAAAGACAGACAGAGAGAGGAGCAGACATAGGAGAACTTGCTTTTTAGGTCCTGGGCAAATTATTTACTCTCTCTGGATCTCAGTTTTCCAACCTATAAAATAGAATACTTGCCATATCTTGCCTCTTAGGACTAATGGAATCATGTGATGGAGATGAAAACAGGTAATACAGCTTGAAAACCTAGGTTGTTCCTAATGGATGTGGATGATAAATCTCCAGCTTATTGACTAACAGTTAGCTTTATGAACTTCTAAAGGTTAAGAGCGCCTGGGTGGCTTAGTCAGTTGAGCCTTTGCCTTCAGCTCAGGTCATGATCCCAGGGTCCTTGGATCGAGCCCCGCATTGGGTTCCCTGCTCAGCAGGAAGCCTGCTTCTCCCTCTCCCTCTGCTGCTCCCCCTGTTTGTGCATGCTCTCTCTCTCTCTCTGTCAAATAAATAAATAAAATGCTCTAAAAAATAACAAAGACAATATGAAGTATGGGATCAGATGCTAAAAAACCTTGAATGCCATACCAAGAGGTAGTATATTAAGTCTCTAGTCAATTCTGAGACCTGAACGTTGTTTAGCAGGAAAGTGACTTTATCAGACTTGTAGAGATTTTCCTGGCACTTGATGGGGAGAGTTTGAAGAAGGGAGAAATTATAGACTCCATCTCCAGACAAAAAATTATCGTGGTAGTACTACTAATGCAGGTCTGAGTGCAGACAGTGACAGCAGATATGATAATCAATATTGTGGAGCATCATCCTACTGAACTTCGGCGCTTCATCCACCATCTCTTACTTATGGCTGCTAAGTGCAAATCACCATTTGTTATTACCCAGAACTCCTACAGCAGGCCCATTTCCAGCTGAATTATAGGGTAGGGGGTGATTCTGGTATTCTGACAATGATTTGTCATTTGACAGTAACTACCCTAAGATATTTTGACCAAGTCACATAAAGTATACACGCAACCACCTTCTGCCTTCAGCATGCTTCCTGAATGATCAGAACGTCATTTCTCTCACCTGGCTCTAATTTCTTCATCCTTTCTTTTGGAGCAATATTTCTCCTCTGGCCACCCCAGGGACCACAAAAAGAAATTAGTTCTGGGGAGACTAATTTTGATTAACTAACATTTATGGAATGCTTGTTATGTGCCAGGAACTGCACTTTATATATATAGTTTTATTTAATCTTCACAGCTCTATGGAGTGAGGTGCTATTATTATCCCTGATTTAT